GTTGTTTACACTACACCTTTTCCAACTAAAATGGCGTCTTAGCAACAAAAGTCACGTGACTGGCGGAGACCGATTAGAGTGGATGAAGCCACGAGCTCGACCAGTTTCCAGGGCAACCAAATGCTGAACAACCGAAAGGATCAATGCGTTGGAACTTAAGAGAGTCTCTTTAAACTCGTTTTAAGATAAAGTTGTTTTTTTGTGTGTGCCTTCTAATCAAAAAGAAGTCTGGGGAACTGGGCTCGTATGAGAAAACTTCCAACATGGTAACTTTTTGTAGTTTGAGCCTGTTAGCTTAGCTTTGTTTCGTTGTTTATCATCGTATCTGTGCTTGTTGTAACGTCTGCGTTTTTCATCCGAACAGGATCGTCACTGGATGTTGAGACACCAGCAGCAGTCTAGGTATCGGGAAGAGCTCCGGCAAGAAGAAGCCAAGCGGCTGGTCAGAGAGCGGCAGCTGCTGGCTGGTCTGAGGGAGGAGGAGAGCGCAGAGAGGAGGAGGTACCTGCGGCATGAGCAGCAGCAGCTGAAGGAGCGGCAGATGGAGGAGGAACTGATCAAGGTGGGAGGCTCCTGCTCCTCATAGTCTACCACATCTATTTATCCCCTGATTTCAATATAATCACCAAATTATAAACAAAGATATTTACATTTTTGGGACAGTTAAAGATACACAGTAACATGGCTCCTGTTCCAGGAACTAGTTTATGTTTTGGCTTTATTCAATAAGCTTGAGGTTTTATTTTTTATTTTTTTTATTCATCACTGTATGCAAGGATAAGCTTTAATAATATGTGAATAATAAAAAATATTTTTATTGGAAAAATTAAACAAGCTTAAAATGTCTTTATAAAATGTAAATATCTATATAGCAGAACTAGAAATGATCAACATTTTTGCATTCTGACAAATTCAGCTGTGACCCTTCAAAAGTCACATGGGGTATTTTTTTTTATCAAATGCATTTTTGGAGTAAACAGCTTTTACTTGGTATATTTAAGTAATTAATATCAGGGAATATAACTGTGCAATATCTTGTATGACCAAAAGTTTTAACACCTTCTGGTTTACATATTTTTACATATTCACTCTGACTGTAGATATTAATCATACAGTACATTCCAGTATTCTGGACCGACTTCTTCACATTTCATGAAATTCAGGTAAAAAACAATAATTGTATGCACAATAAAACAATCTGAGATGGAAATCTAAGCATTGCTTTTAAAGAAAAAAGCTTTTAACAAACAGACTGGTATGACCTTTGTCCAGTGCAATGCTTATAATAATGACTGAATGTGACTGCAGGCTGAGGAGCAGAGAGTAAACAGGGAAAAGGAGCAGGAACAGGAGGAGAGAAAAGCTAAAGAGCAGGCCCGAATCGACCACGAGAAGCAAAAAGATGAGAAGATGAGACGGCTTATTATAGAGAACAGGTACAAACCATTTATTATGATCTTCTATGTTTTTATGTGTAACCTGGACTTATAAGTATTTAAATTCATCCTTTGATTTTCAGCTTGGAGATCAGAGAACTGAAATCCAAGCTGAGTGCTGCGTGTGTGCACAAGGAGATAGCTGCTCAGATCGCAGAAAAGGAATCTCTAAGACTTCAAACCAAAGTGGGTGCCACCTTTGGTAGTTCTTTCAGATTTTATATATTCTGCTATGACTACAGTGCTACAATGACTTTTATCTTTATGTGGCAGCCAACTGCAGTATGAACACAGGAACAAACTAAATCAAGAGTTCAAGTCTCTCAACTTTTCTCTTTTATCTCACTTTAGAGGGAAGAGGCAGAGCTGGCTCACAGAATGAAGAGAGAACAAGAACAAGCTGCTGCTGAGCTCCAGAAGCAGCAGCAGCTGCAACATAACGAGAAGGTGGTTCGGCATCAGAGAGAGTTGGAGCAGCAGCTCATGGAGAAGGAGCGCAGGAGACAGGAGGCGTACGAGGAGTTTCTCAAAGAGAAGCTTCTGGTGGACGAGATCATCAGGAAGATCTATGAAGAGGAGCAGATGTGGGTCTCCTTTACTGCTTTCCTATTTAAAACAGATAATATTCTAATAGCTGGTTCACTGTAGGAATATTATGTTCCAGTATTTCTATGAAATCACAATGAGTTTTTCTGTTTATTGAGATTCATGCTTTCTGTTTAAGGGAGAGGCAGTTAAAGCTGGAGAAGGTCAAAGCTTCTCGGCAGCAAATGGAGGAGTTGAAAAGGGAACAGGCTGAGTGGAGGCGGATGGAGCAGAAGAGGATCGAAGAGGAAAACAGACGCATCATGGAGTTTGCAAGGCAGCAGCAACATACGGAGGAGACTAGAAGGAATCAGATGAGACAATGGGAAGAAGCCAAGGAATATCGCCACAAAATGGTTGAAAAAACAAGCTCCTCTTATCAGCTTAATGTCTGCTGATTTTTTTTAACACTTCTCCTTGCTGTCCACTTCTGTTATCCAGCTGTGTGAGAAGATAGAAGGGGAGAGAAAACTGAGCGAGGAGATGGAGCATGTCTGTCGGGAGCTTTATTTGGAAAAGCAAGAGGAGGCATACAGACAGAGAGAAATTGTGAGCCCCAAAGAGTTGGAACACTAAAACACTGTTTATCACATCTGAAATATTGTTTTAAATAGAAACATGTTTTTAATCCGCATTATTAGGAGGAAATGGAAAACAGGATCAGACAGAGACTGATGATGCAGCAGACCTTCAGGGAGCAGCTAGCCTTCAAGCAGATGCAGAGGCAGCGGGAAAAAGAGGAAGAGGAGGCTTTCAGGAAAACCATGATGGCCAAGTTTGCTGAGGACGACCGGATTGAGCAGATGAACGCCCAGAGACGTCGCATGAAGCAGCTGGAACACAAACATGAGGTGGAGAGACTGATGGAAGAGAGAAGACGGCAGCGTGAAACTGAAAGGGTACCAACCATAATTCAAAAGCGCAGATTTGTATCATTTTACACAATAAGGCATAGTGGAGAGCAGCAAAGATACAGCTGTTTATTCAGCTGGTATGTCCCTTCACGTTAGCCTGAACAAAGAGTAATAAATGGTGTGTTTTGTTAGGAAGTAGTAACATTTTTAAATCTTTTTAAAACCCTTTTCTCTCTTATCAAGGAAATGGAAGCTACATTTGAAGCAACAGAACAGGAGAGGGAGATGCAGAGGAGACAGATCATAGAGGAAGAGAGACTGAGACTGCTAAAGCTTAATGCAAATAAACTCCCCGGAAACTTCCCTAAGGTTTGTATGAATAAATTAGATATTATTCACAGAGTGCAAATAAAATACATCAGTAAACTGTTGCTGCATCTGTTCTTAGGACATTCTCCGTAAAGATGACCTGGATCAATTTGAGGAAGATTTCAGAAAACGTTTTGAAACCCTACAGACCGATGACTTCTCAGAGTAGTCCCCATGTTGGAGGCCTTCAGCTGACCATTAGGGGGCAGTATAAGGCTGCAGTGAATTCTTCTAAAGAATTTAAGTTCTGAATTTCTACTGAAGTTTTTACTGTTTTTCTACATTTTTCCTATGGATTCAGTTTGATGCGTTTGGACAATCTGTTCATGAGTTTTTAAATAAACAACCATAAGCACAGATAATCCTTTATCAGTTGACAGTGTATATCATCTCCAGTCATTTTTATGAAACCCATTACATAAGTCTTAATATTCCTAAAGAATGGTGTGTTTTACATGTACACTGCTGAATCAATATAATATAAAAGCTGCAGGTCTTTAAGAGTCCCAAGGGTTTTACAATTCTTCAATTTATTTCAGTCACAATTAATGTAAACATCTTGGAGTTTAAACTTTCAGGTCAACCAAATAGTCTCACTTTGTTTATGCTATTACAAAAATATGCTTTAGTCTAAATAAATAAATTGCAGCCCCTCCTAAATATGTGCTTAATATCGTCCCGGTTGAAAGTGAACCTCTCCCTAATAGGCAGTCTTCCATGTTTAGCTTTTCTTCATTATTTTTCATGAGTAAAAACAAAAAGTAACCTCCCAGCACCCTCTTCCACCTTTGCTGTGTCCATTACACAGATTGTACTAAACTACAAATGCAGATTATTGTGGCTTTTTCCTTTGCTGCTCTAACAGTAATAGCAGAATTTTAGAGAGCCCGACTAACTGTTCTCCCTGTCTGGGTCAAATAATTGGAAAGCCACGCCCACCTAATAGTGATTGCAGTTTTGTTGTACTATAGCGCAGGGCTCCATAAGATGTCTAAAGCTTAGGATTATATTGAATAACCAAACCGGTTTTAAACTTCTGCGCCGTTTTATCCCTGCTGTTTTCCTCTGAGGCGTCCATGGAACAGCTGGATGTTACAGAGATCAAATTCCATTCAGGCTGCCTCTGGGTACTTTTTTTGCATTGCATTTTATTTAGGGGTATTTGAGGAAAAGGTGACCAAACTTCTGAAGCTAGTGTTTTCCTCCCACTTTGCAGTTATGTGCTACATTCAGTTGCGGTATCAGATCATTTTGTGTTTATTGACATAAGCTAAATGAAAACTGTTGAAAGGCACCATGAGACAATTTAATTTTTCATTCAACTCCAAATAATTAAATCCCTGAAAAAAAGAAGTTTCTAATATGAATTAACGGTTAATTTGTAGGAACAAAAATGTCTGACAAATCACCATGACCAAAAACCCTTTTTTTATTGAATAATGAGCAGAACTTTGTTTCTTTACAGCCTCATCGATGACTGCATAGAAGCAGAGATTTCCTGCTCAGGCCACCTTATATGATTCTTCCACCAACTATTAAAACAGGAAGAAGATTAAGCAGTCGCAGAAAAATGAACCTGAGCTTTTAAGAAATAAAACTAGATAAGGAGAAAGAGCAGAAACGCAACACATTTTAGTACTTTTAAAGACTATTTTGAAGGATGTAGTTGGTTGCCATGGCGACAATGGGTGCTCCAGTTGGGACTCCGGGGAAAGGACCACTCGAGCCAGCGATGTCGATATGGGAGTAGGGCAGAGGTGCATCTGAATCCACTCCATGCTGTAGACACATTTCAACAGAAGCCATTAATGCTGATGAACCACTTTAATTCTTAGCAGATACACACACTTTGTTTCCTGTCAGCGTGTGAGGACCTTGTCAAGGCCTGAGGTCATGATGAGGAAAGCTGCAGGGGTCTGATGTCCTCGGGGAGTCGCTGAGGATGGAAGATTGTTGCACTGCAGGATGTCTTCGTACTCGGATGGTCCTTTGTGGAACTCGTAGTCCTCCCGCCTGATGCTGGATATCTCAAACACATCTCCCAACACCTCTCCAGCTGTAAGACAGGGAGTTAAACTGCTGTTACTTGGTCCTGCAAACCCTTTATCACCTTAGACCAGAGGATATTAAAGAGTAAGACTGGCATTTTTCTAATCCACAACAGATCAAAATTAGACACTAATAGTTATTTAATAAGAGTCTAGTATTTGTTTAATAGGTGGACCTCAGACTTTCTATATAGCGAATAGTTTGATATGATTCTAGGTGGACATTAGACTCTTATTGATTGGTTGAAATATTTAAATAGGTTTGTTTTTAGCACACAGAGCTTCTGTTTTAGCATAGCTTGAAAATTCCCAAAAGCTCCATCTATCTCAAAACTAGCTTTAATGCATGTTTTAGATCACTCTCCAGCAGAAACACAGCTTGCATCATTTACTTCAAACAGAAATGGGTCAGATGATCAAAAACAATCCAATAACAATGAAATCAGCCATGAATTTGAGATGAGCAGTTAATTGGCACTAAAGGTGTAGACTGAGGAAAAAAATTTCTTGCTTCAAAAATGATACGTTCAAGCACAGTAGAAATTTTTATCTGCTCATGCCAAAGAGCAAAATTACTTCCTGAGACAGTTTGTTTTGATCAGAGGAGAACATCTAATCCATACGAGTCTTTCAAATTAAGGAGCAGTGCACAAAGCAGACTGGTGGAGGTAGCATTACGCCATGTGGCCATTTCCCTGCAGGTGGTACATTAGGAAATATGGAAAAACAAACGGCTGATTTACTTTTTAATGATAACTGATATATAAAACACAACACTGGTTTTGGACTGGATATAACAGGTAGACTATAAGGGTCCAGAAAGGGGGTCAACCCTACTGAATAATGGTTAGAAAAAATTTAATTGAAGCAGCTAAATGTTGGATAATTATATCTAGATACAATTAAATATAATGATCAATCTCTAAAAACTCCAAAAAACAGACTAAAGTCTATGATGAGTGAAGCTCAGCTTACGACTAGAGCCATACTACACTCTAGGGATTCAAAGACTGCATCGATTTTTCTTTATTCATTTTTAAATGGACATTAGATGAGCAAGAAACTAGGTTTGTCTGCAAAAAGTTTAAACATTATGAGTCATTCACCACCTTGGTCCTGAGTAATGCCTCTGGGTAAATTTCAACCAGCAGAGATAAATCATTGTAGTTTATGACGAAGTAAAGTTTAAGGTTTGCGTTGTTATCATCTGTACTTTCAACTAGCTGATTATTTATTTACAACAGTTTGCAAAAACACGCTTAACAGTCTTTAATGGGTCAAACCTAATCTCACCTTTCTGCCACTGAGCGGCGTTCCCACCACGCTGGGCTGGTCCGTTGTCCATGATGATCTAAAAAGAAATTATTTGAAATTAGGACAAACGTGGACATGAAATATAAACCTTCCGTGGATTTTTTGTCTTTTTTCCCGCCACAGAACTTACTGAGTAGTTTGGTCCCATGGCTCTGATGGCATGACCAGTCAGAGTTGCAATCGTAAAGAGCTGCGGGGAAACCTCCTGCGCCGCCTGCGGAGAGAAACAAACCCAATTAGAGGAGAAACACCAGAGAAAGAGATTGATCAGGGAACTTTTTTAAAGGCACCGCCTCCAACCTTCTCCTTCATTTCACAGAGCAGGTCAACCATCACCATACGGCCTTCAGCATCCGTGTTTCCCACCCGGACTCTGCGACCTGCTCGGGAGACGACCAGCTCATCTGCCACATAGCAGTCTGAGGGGGGTATAAAAAAAAAACAAAGCAGGAAAATGAGAGATGAGAACAGCCGCTCAGACCGGGAGGTGATTTATTAGCTGGAGGCATCAACACTGACCTGCACCAACGCTGTTTCTCACCATGGTCATCGCACCCACCACTTTCAGATGCTCTGGCTTCAGATGGGCCAAAATCTGAAAGAGATCAGATCTACATCAAAGAGAATCTACATGTTTTTTTTGTCTTTCATTATGATCATTTTTTAAGCCATTTCTTAATTTCTATGCTACTTAAAGCATAGAAATGCAGCAATGCTGAGACACTAGGGATGAATACAGAGGAGTGGAGGAACAGCTGGTGGAGTGGAGTTTGTCAGCTCATAGCATGCACCAGACATGTACCAAGGGGGCAGCTATGAGATTTAACTACAGCACATCAGTCTCACTGAGCACCCGGACAGGTCGTGGCATGAGACAAACTACATTCCTCTCTACTGCCCTCTGGGAAGAGGATTCGCAGCATTCAGTGCAGGACAAGCGGGTTCCGTAACAGCTTTTGTTGAAAACTCTAATCAAGTCAGACTTCAAGACTCTATCACACTGTAAACATCATACTTGCACTACATGGTGAATCTTCAAAATAGAACTCAACTCAGTGTTTCTACTGTATTTTGCACCATTTCTACTTATTTTTGCACTGCTCTGAACCTTCCACATCAATGCATTTTTGCACCATGTCTCTCCTACACGGTTTACTTTTTGATCACTGCTGCGTTTTATAAATTTATCACAATTTCATTTTGTATACACCGTGTACATAAAATGACAATAAAGTGTGTCTAAGCAAGTCTAAGACATTCAGCTGTGAAACCAGCACATCCTCTGCAATTCACTGATAAACTTTAAAAGCTGCTGAGGACATTTTTATTAAAACACTGATTCAAAAATGTTTATGAATGTTTGTTTTCAATAATATAACTAAATTTATTGATTTATTTTTTTAAAGCATATTTTGATTCTAATGCTGTTAAAAAAGAATTACCTGGAAGAATCCAGCGACAGCAGCTGCTCCACATTTATCCCTGTGCATCCCAGCCATGAAGCCTCCAGCCTTGATGTCTGCTCCTCCTGTGTCATAGGTAATTCCCTGCAAACATCACAAAAAAAAAAGCAAATAGACAACACAAGATCAGATCTACAACAATCATGAGTTCCATTATTTCCACTGTTTGTATGAACATCAACTTTGGATTCTTACCTTTCCAACCAACATGAGTGTCTTCTGGATCGGTCCCGCTCCAGAGTACTGTAGTTTGATTACTCTGGCCTGATGACGAGGCACACCTGCGGTAGTTTAAGGCAGTATTTACATCTGTAAAAAACCTTAATTTATGCAATAAGAAGTAAAGCTTTTGTCTTACAGTTTGCGCAGCGGTTCACTGCAGCCAGACATGGATACTCCTTCTCCAGAATCCTCACGTCGCTCAACACCTCCACCTGGAAACACAGACCTGTTCAGGCCTCCTTAAACTTTTTTTTTTACTTTAGTCACATTACAATCAGAAACTTGAGTTTCTTTTGAAACTCTACAAAACAGAACATTTAAAATAGGAGGTTAAGTGAGACATGATTTTTCAAAAATGTTTACAATGTACCCAACTCCCTTTACTCTGATAACCTAAAATAAAACAGTCTTAAAAAAAACACTATATGAATTTCAGTTTACATCGACAAAGATAAACTATACATGATATTTACAAACCTCGGGGGTTAAAATTATGAGGTTATTTTTATTATTCAGCCACTTTTGACTCCATGAGGAAAGTGATACAAATAATATCAGATAGAGCAGAATAAATTTTTACTGAAGCAAGATGCAGAGGCAGCCATACCATTTATTGTGGAGAAAGATACCAAAATAACAAAGCAATCATTTTTGCGTTGTATTTATTATCATTAGTTATCCAGATAAACAGCACATTTTCACAACATAAACCATTTGTCTATATCCCTCATTCATAACTTCTTACTTAAAAATAATACACTAATTAGTGTTTGTCTATAGTATAAAATGCCTTTTGAGCTCAATGAAGTTTTTTGTGGAGGTGTGAAAAACCTTTCAAATCTAATTTAGCAGGGGATTTTCCTCTGTCAACATGCAGGATTCCTCCTTACCTGCACAGGACTGTTCTTAAACATCTCCTGAACGTATTCAGCCACACGAGGTGCTGCCATGCGCTCAGGGTCTGAGCCGCCGATGTCGCGGTATGCCACTCTGTCAGGGCGAAAGGAAAGGGTTGTTTGAGTGACAAAACAGGAGAAAACATATAAAGCAAGGCGTCTGACCAACCTGCCGCTCTCCAGAGCATTAGCCAGGTCCACCAGCCTCCTTCCTTCGGCCTCCTGGGCCGCCCACAGCCCTAGGACACACACCTTGTGGTCCGAGGTTTTGTCATTTGCCTCTCGCACTTCAAGGGGCTTTTAACACATGCAAATAGAAATGAAGTCAGCATCTGTTTTCTGAAGTAATTACTGTGGTTTATGCCAATCATACAGTAACATGCAGCAGGTCCTGGTTATGCAAATAAAAACTACTGTTATAAAGAAATCTGCAGCGATCGCATAGATCAAATACTTGAGTTATGGACACATGAAGATAATATATAAGATAATTTGCTCAACCAAACTTTACCCCTGTAACCCATTCAATCATGTGGATTTAGTGCGTGACTGTCTTTGTGAACATATTCCCTGATCCACCCAACAACCCTGGGAGGAGGAACGCTTTGACTAACCGGCCTCTACAAAAAGTTGGCAGCTCTGGGCTTGGAAGAAAATAGCAGTAAGAAGCTTTTTCAGACCTCAGCAGGAGGCTGTAGGAGCTGGAAACCAGGGCTAGAAGGGTAATGGGCTGGGCTGTCTGGTCAGTGTATACTCAGGCGGTTCATTTCTTCTGTTTGAATGACGTGCGTAGTATTTTCTTTTTGGGTTTATAGAACCAAAAGTAGAAAACAAACCGTTGTTCAAATTTTTTTTTTTGCACTTAACAATAACAACAAAAAAACTAACAAAACCCCCAGCCTGAATATACACTGACTCCATCTGTTGAAACAGTGGATAAGGTTTATAGCTGCCTGGACCAGGCAATATCCCCTCATGTCCAATTGGGTGACAGATGAATAAGCAGAACAGGAAAAGGCCATTTTCTCACAATCAGTTCATGAATATCAACATATTGGCATGTCTTACTTGGTCGATCTATGGTAGCTTCATGTTTTGATAAACCATTTATCCATTTCCATTTGGTTTTCATGCCAATGATTACACCCATCTAACAATGAAAACCCAACATTTACTGACAATATTAGGGATGAATTTCTTTGTTGAGGTAGTTTTACAACCCATGTCACTATTAAAACTGACAGCTATGACAATGAGGCTAATCAAGCGAGTGAAACAGGTTTAACAGCTAGATGAAGTCTGCAGAGAATTTATTTTGATCACGGCGGTGGCCAAATCTCCACCCAAAAAACACTGGAAGAAAAAGAAGTAATCTTTCAATCTATCTGCATATTGTTAATTTTACACCTTTTAAGACTTTTCCCAGTCATTTCTGTTTTTTTGTTTTTTTTTGTTTTTTTTTTTAAACAAGGTGATTTAGTCCTTGACTCAGAGGAACTCCAGAGATTGTGTTCTTTTCGATTAAGTTGATTCCTAAAGGCCACATTTTATTCCCAATATTGACCATTATACTGTGCCATAATTAAATCATTCATCTATATTTTGCAGAACAGCCATTTCTCACCATGTAGAGAGCATGAAGCGCACCAAGTGCAGCCACCAAGGGGCTGTTCTTATAGTCCTTGTGTGGAGGGCAAACCAGCAGGGGGCGCTGCATGCCAGCTTTCAAGGCCCTGAAAAAGCAAAACAATGAGTGATGAAACCAGAATAGAATGACTCCTGGAAGTGAAGGCAGAACACTGCGGCTTACTGACCGTTTGATGCCTTTGACAGCTGCGTCACTGAAGCGTCTGACATCATCATAGTCGCGGTTCACAGGGCCGGTGGAGGCAAATATCAAACGGTCACCAGGAAGACTGGGAACCTTGATCAGAACCACCTCATCGCCCAAACCGCTGTCCACCTGAAGCAGAGGGGGTAGCAACTAGTTACGTTTACTTAGGTAAAAAAAATAAATACTCTAGTAGGAGTAGTTTTACAACACTAAATTTTGACCTTTTTTTGGGTAAAAATATGATAAAATAACACTACTCTTGAGTAAAACTTCTGGCAACGCCATCCATTGTGAGTAACTTCACTTAATGAAAACAAGATTCTTTTAAACATATTGAGAGACACACTTTCTTTATCTTTTTCATTTTTGCACTGAGGGCTTACTGGTTAAATGCCTGAGGTTGAGTGACAAGGCAGTTCACTGTATTTTTACCTATTCTGCAACTATTGAGTTTGTAAGTTTTAAAACAAAAAAATATATATTTTGAAAATCTACATATTTATTTTGTAATTCTTGCATGCAAAATGTTTTTTTTTTTTTTTATATTTGTCTTTGCAACAGCAGAAGTTGCCTATTTGAGTCACCTTCTTACCAAATATTTAAGTAAGGGGGAAAAAAGTAATTCATTTAAAGGCTACTTGTACCCGAGTAAAAATATGATGTAGTTCCAAGTATAATTTTTGAGTACTTTACCCATCTCTGACCTGAAGGTGCATTATGTCTGCTAAGGCCATCGGAATGAACTGCAATTGTCAAATGCATTTATCCCTCGAGTAGTTTCCAAATCAGTAATTTCCGTGTCTGCACATGCCACAAACTCCAATTTGAGATGTTTATGACCTTTATGAATTACATGAAAGATACATACATAAACGGAGGGATACGGCACATTTCCCTGCTAATGTTAGTAAAATGCCAAGATATTGGACATGATCCAAAAGAGACATTCATTATTTGCGCAACTTAGCTAAACTTAAAAAAATCATTTGGATGACGTCCTATGTCAAGCTTTATTTAAGTGCAAGACAACACTTAATAAATGTTAGGAAAAAAAATGTCTGCACAACGAAAGTAACACAAGGATTATTATTGTGTTGTCTTCTTACAGTCCTGTTTAGTGGCAGATAACCCTTATATGATGCTAAAGGTCCATGTTAGAGATCACCGTAGGTTGCAGATGACATGATTTCCAGGAACACCTCATTGTGTCTGCTTATGTAAAAGCCAGGGGTGACCACCAATGACAGATGCGATTACAGTCCAGTCACTTTAGAAATTACCTGTCCTGATAAAGTCAACTGGTCTACAGCTGCTTCTATTACCCCATTTACACTACCCTTGAAAAACCGATCCATGCCGAGATCGGTCCGAGCTCGGATCAGTTAACCAGGCCGAGTTTGGTTCTGACAACAGTTTACACATCACGATATCTCGGTTCCTTGACTCCTCGCCTCCTAGTGGTGATCTGCGGTATTACTGCCAGTATTGAAGGAGGAAATCAAGCAGTTGTTGGCGGTAATGCACCAACAACGGAGATGACATGCTCTGCTCATGCGCTCTTGTTATCAGAGAACCGAGCCAGGGAAAAACCAAGCCCAGCCCACCTCTGGAACTGGTCTGCAGTTAGAGCGGTCTGGTTGTGTCTAGCTCGGTTCAGTTCAGTTTTCTTTCCATTTACACACGAGAAGTTATCTCAGTTACTGAGCTCGGACCGGTCTCGGCACGGTTTTTCAAGGGTAGTGTAAATGGGGTATAAGTAACTTAATGTTTCAACTCTAAATCATTTGAGGATATCTGACACACCAATACAGAGTGAGCCATTTCAGCAGTTTCAACACCGTCTGTTTTTAGTTGCTTTTATTGTAATACATCAACATAAAAAAAAATGTTAGAAGTGAAATTCTCAGCAAATTGATCTAATTATAATTCAATCTTAGTGCAAGTACAGCATTTCTGTAAAGACTTAAAGGCAATATTATGATGGTGGTGGCAGCGTCACTGTGTGGGCTATTATTTAGCTGAAAAAGTTGAGCTGTCTGAGGTTTTGTGAAGGTTGATGAAGACTAGAAAAGACTCGACACTATACAGAGCCAGGGCCACGGTGGAAAGGCTTATATGGAGGTATATTCTGTCAGAGATCACACTTATAGAAAATTCCTCAAGATGGTCTCAATCTGATACAAATAACACAAAATGCAAATACCTGGAGGGGGATGTGTTACATTAAAAATTCATAACATCTGTTAAACCTCCATAAGGATGTGGCACCTCCACTTCATAATCTAATCTAAGTGTTGCAATTGCAGAAACGTACAGAACTGTAATCCTGCAGTGGGGCTTTCAGGAATTCCAGCTCAGCAGGCAGAGTGTCATGGCTCTGGGTGACTAAGACGATGCCATCAAAACTAGAAAAACAAAAGAGAGCATGCATCCGATTAAAACAGACCGATTAAGAGAAGCAAAATGCTTCCTGGTACTCACTTCTGATCTTTGAGGTCATTGGTCCACTCGGTGGGCTGGACGCTGGACAGACAAACAGAATTGAGTAAGACATCTGAGACTGAGTAAGGCAACAAGCGTTTTTCTATTTTAAAATGTGTTAATGATAACAGTGAGAGGGAAAAGCTGTAGGACCTTTGACACTGGCAGCCAAAAAAAAAAAAAAAATGCAGGAGATAAGATTCTAATGACTGTCGGGATTTTCACACCAATTTGTTGTTTTGCAAACTGCAGGGGAGGATAAGATGCAAATCCCTGCACCTAGAGGTTATTTTACGATGAAAATCACTTCATTTTGTTGAGAATTATGACTTTAAATCTAATGACTAAAATTATTTGTATCAGAAAGTTATGTCATCATAGCAGACAAAGGGAAACTAAAATTCATGCATGCAGACGTGGAGCCTTTTGATAGAAATGAAATCCAAACAAGTGTAAATCCTAAAAGATGCTAAAGATCATAAACTAAGATAAACAAGTTTAAAGAAAGTGAAATATGTGGTTTATTAAAGTTAGTTTTCCTTTTCATATTCCACTACCTAAAAAAACATCACTGTCAACACAAAACAGAAATTAAACGGCAGAAACAATCCAACAATCCTTCTGTCCACATTGAATCCAATGTGATGGATGCCATTCCAGCAGTGTGAACAAAAGCCTCACTAATTGTGACCCTTTAGGCTTTATTTGCACATGGCTGAAAACAGCTGGCTATTAGTACTGCTACTGGAAGAGGGCCTGCTTTCATCACAGCAAGAATAAGGGTTGATTTTATCCTCAAACCTGCTGCCATACCCTGGGTGTTTGCTCCTTACTGCTAACCGTGTCCAAAGTTGACCAAACCAAGTCCTATTGTCATTTCTTAACACATAAAATGTACAATCACCTCATTTTGCAGTCCACTTTAAATCTGCTGACAAATCGTGTTTCCTGCCAACAGCAGCCCAAAGGTTCTGGTTATCATATGACTTAGAGGAAGGGAAACTAAAACTGTTATTCATGCAGATTTAGAGCCTTTGGATGTAAAATGAGCCAAAATGTGCAATAAACCCCAGAATAGACTATAAGGGTTAGGTTTCCTCTAAAGATAAATGTTGCAACAGGTGATCTGGTAATATCAGGAAAAAACTAATTAATGTGTAAAGAACAAGTTAAAAGAATGAAAATCTGTGGGGAAAGAAATGAGAACAAAAAGCTTCTGGAGCTCTAACGTTGCTGCTTCATGCAAATAAAGCGGATATAACGGAAACCTGCGAGACAGGAACCATTTTATCCTGGAGAGGAAAACAAGTTAAAGAAACAGCAAACCTTCCGTCTCACCTGGAGCACATTGCTGCTGTCTTCCTTCAGTCTTCGAGGGCGAAGCAGGCAGCAAGCAGCAAGCAGCCGGTACATATAGCTGCTTTGCCGAGCTCCTTCATCACGTGACCAGTGCTGCCTTCACGGACTCAAACAAGGAAGAGAGGAAAAACTTCATCTTAAACGTCTATTCTATCATAGAATTTAAGTTATCCCAGTTGAAAATGTTATCAAATTACAATAAATTAAAAGCTGCTTTGTTTTTTAAACACAATATTTTTCCTAAATACTTTAGAAAAAAAAAAATGTTAGTTACTAACTTCCGTCTATACGTCACTGCCCGTTATACAGTTTGTAGGGAAATGTAGTTTTGGTAACTGTCTTAATAAATGAACACAATAGATTTCAAATGTTAAAAAACAACCAAACTAAATTCATATTTATCAAACGCAGCAATAAAAACATTAAAGCACCGAGAAATATTCATTTAAAACAGATGTTTTTCAGTTTAGACCGAGCTGACTACAAACCCTGACTGGTGCTCTGTCAGGCCAACATACCCATAATTAATACGCATGCGCAAGAAGTTAGATTCTTCTTCTTCTTTTGTATTACGGCTGCTCGCAAGCAACTTTAAGGTGCGTATCCCCACCTACTGTACATGAGTGTGTAGCAACATTACTTTACATCAAATGCTATTTTTTTATTTTGTACTCTGTAGATAAATAAATAATGCTTTCCTTATTCTGTGAATATCCTTTATATTTCCTTCATTTCCCAGTATTCCTTTAGGATTCTTTGCTTGTCCTTCCAACCATCCTTCTCCATTTCTCCCTTTCATGTTCATAAGTTTTACAGTTCATCAGTACATGTTCTACATTTTCTTTTTCTCCACATCCTTCACATTTATTATTATTTTTTCCTCCCTGTTAAATATACATTGTCATTTAAATACATATGACCCATTCTTAATCTGATCATTATTACTTCTTCCCTTCTGTTAATCCCTTAAAATTCACTTTAAACTACCTCGACGGGCGTGTAGCCCTTAAGTCATGTAAAAAAAACACCAAAAAGTAAGCAATTATATTGTTTTTTTGTGTGTTTTTTTTGTACGTGAATAAAGGAATACACGTCCGTCGAGGTAGGTTAAAGTGTATTTTTGGTACAAAACTAAAGGGATAAACAGGGATTGACTATGGGTATGCTGGTCTGACGGGGGTATGTTGATCTGACAGAACACCGGAAGTAGTTAACGGGTTGTGTTTCCTCGGTAAAACGGCGAAAGTGAGTATTTATTGGCTGCAAACAGTCCAAAGGGCACAGTCCCCAGCCTGGCTGCTCTAATCATTCCTACTAATCGGGGATTATAAGTACTGGTTCAGCAGGTAGGCAGTTGGGAAGCTTTGTGTTATTGATTCATTTCACCAAATATTAGGAATTTTTACTTGACAAAAATGTTATGACACGTAGTTTATACCTAACTGACTCGTTCTTACATCCTCTTTTTTTTTTTTCTCCACACGTTGTTTACAAAGTCCCCAGGTTTTAGCTCCTAGTTGTTTATTCGGGCTGCTGACTTTGGAGTAAAACCAGTTTTCATTGCTAAGTAGGTCAACCTAGTAGAGACTGAATGCATGCAAACAAAGATCAATTTAGACTTAGACAACTTTTATTGTCACTTTGTTTACACAAAATGTATACAAAACGAAATTTTACTATTTTGTACTATTTTACTAAATAGTACAGCTTTCATGACAGTTTCATTCCATAAAAGTGCAGCATTGATCAAATGTAAACAGAGTGGGAGAAAAAACATGGTGCAAAAAACACATTGATATGAAAGATTCAGAGCATTAAATCTATATGGTGCAATTCTGCAGTGTTTTGGTTTGGTGTTATCAGTGTGATGCAGAGTTTGTGACATGATTTTTTCAGCTGTTTGGTGGCGGGGGGGTGCTGCAGCAGATGCTGTGAAGCCTCTTCAAAGAGGGCAGCAGGGAGAACAGTCCATGGTGGGGGTGTGAGGGGTCATTGATGATGTTATGGGCAGCGCTGGGATGAAATGTCTTTAATGGAGGGACGAGGAGCCGCGATGATCTTCTCTGCTGTTCTCACCACTCTCCTCACCTTATTCTAGTCTGAGGCGCTGCAGCCTCCACACCACACATGAGACAGCAGGTCAGAACGCTCTCTATGGTGCTTCTGCAGAAGGTGGTGAGGATGGGTGGGGGCAGGTGGGCTCTCCTCATCCTCTGCCAGAAATAAAAGCACTTTTGTGCCCTTTGACCAGTGAGGTGGTGTTTACAGTCCAGGTGAGGTTTCTGTGATGTGCACCCCCAGGAATTTTAAAGCCTTTAAAACAGATTGTCTTGGATTTGGGTCTGGACTTTGACTAGGCCATTCTAACAAGAGAAAAAAAGTTCAAATTTTGCGTATTCAAAAATGTAACCTTTGAGTTTACATACCTACGAAGATTCTCAGTCCTGTTTTTAAGTCATATTGCCTTTCATCCAAGAGGCTTCCTCAGTTCTAACTAGTGGTAGGGAGCACTGAGATTAATACAAGCCTTATTTGGACAACTCTAATCACTATTATTTAAACTGCTCAGGTCTGAAGGATTTTGCAGCCCTGAACAGGTTATCTCTAAGGTAGGTTGGTGACCTGAAAAGCACCCATAGATCAGGATTTTGTCAGCATCATGGGGCTGATGATGTTGTATTTAAGGTGATGTAAGAATATGGAATGATTGACCAGTGTCTGGCAGTTGTGGCTGTTTATATGTAGTTTGTTTTTTCTTTCTTTCTGTCTTTTCTATCAATAGATGAGACTGCCTCTCCGTTCCTGTTTCTTCTTCAGAAGTTTTATTGCCCAGAAACAAACAGCGGATGCACAGAAGAGAGGCTTAAGTGGTGCTGGGATGCGTTTGGTTCAGTTTCGTCACAGCGGGGAGGGCGATTGTGTCAGAGTTGGAGTGGAGCAAAGTGATGGGCAAGGTGTTGTTGATCTGAAGGCGTTTGACCCTTCAATGCCTTCAACTGTGAGAGAGCTTCTGCAGCTGGGAGATAAAGGCCTGGAGTTTGCTCAAAGGTTTGGATTTCTTATTTTACAGATTTAAAAAAATAATAAAAATCAATTCTTCTTTTTGCTAGGATCCTTCTTATAAGAAACCTTTTAAAAATCTCTTCACCTATTATTCATTTTCTGTGAAAGTCTCTAAATAAGACCCCCTCCTCCTCAGAGCATTGGCATCTGGTCAGTGTGTGGTCGACAGAGCAAACATCCAGCTTTTACCCCCGATTTTGGCCCCAGAGAAAGTAGTGTGTGTTGGCATGAACTATCGGGACCACTGTCTGGAGCAGAATGCGCCCATCCCTAAAGAACCAATCATCTTCAGCAAGTTTCCCAGTGCCCTCACAGGACCATATGATGACATTATTCTGCCTCCAGAGAGCCAGGTAAAAAAAAGATAGCCTCAATACTGAAAGGACTCTTTGAAACAGAGAGAGAATGTTGCAAAAGCAGCACACTATGGGACTCTGTTACCTCTTATATCAATAGAATTGATCAGGACTGACAGATGAGCAAAGAGCAAAGAGGCATTGATGGAACAACCTATAATCGCTGCCTTAGCATCTGAAGGCAGCATATAATTCAGACCTAACAATTTGCAGCCACAAAACACATCTTACAATTAAATCTTATATTTTAAAGCACTAAAACCTAAAAATCCTTGTAATTATTAATCTTAAATCTAAATCCTAATCAGTTTTGCTATTTTTTGTTAAGTTAGTAAAAGTGGTGACTTGTAATGCAGACGATGACTCCCTTTGGTTGGATAGATGCCTCACTGATTGGCTGCATGGTGTAGGCATTCTTACATTTCCAAAGATCCTCTATGCCAAGGTAGTTCTTATCACAAGCCAAAAAGGTTTTTTCCGTTTGCTGTAGGATATGAAATTGTTTTGAACCTTTGCTTTAAAAGCAAAAAAGCCAACACAGAGGGGGGAGGATAAATCTGTTTATATCAGTTTATGATTGACGTAGTGGAACTATCGGTTGCAAAGATTTCATGACAGATAACCCTTGTGGAGTTCTACTGTGGCTTTCTTTGTTTCACTTTGACTATTGGTTTTGTGATTTGCTTTTTTCTCAGTGTCTGAACTAAATAAGTAAATAATTTCAAGGTTCCACTTTCCTTAACCTCACTGTTCCCACACTGTAATGATGCGAGGTAGAGTTAGAATATTCCAGCTTAAAGATGAAGTGGCTCTTTTAGCAGCTAATCTACGCAGGGCAGCAGTCTCTCTTTATGAGCTAATATCCAAGTCGTGTGAATCTAGTTTTTGGCCGTAAGAGGTCCCCGACTTAGTTCAGCTTTTAGAAGTAGTGCGATATGCGGTGTTGTAAAATGGGCGGCAGCCAGATGGGAGAGGCTGCTTTCTCTTTAAGGGCAAGTGTTTTTTTCGGGATTGAAAAAAACTGATTAGTCATGGTACATGGTATCATGGTGCATGGTACTTTAAATGTGTTATTCTACCAAATATTACGCCCTAACAGTCCTTTCTGGTTGTGTTATTGCGAAGGCGAAAATACACTATTGCCAGCTTTAATTTACACCATTGAAAAAGAAAACGTTGTAGAAATAATTATATGAATTCGTAATGCTTTGCAATACACCTTGTCAACAACAAAAAAAAAAAAAACCTTTTGCCTAAATCAAAAAAAAAAATCAGAATAGTTTTTTAATCTGTCAGTTATAAAAAGGAGCATAAATTGAATATTCTGCCCAGGAAAAACAATATATGTATATATCAATGGGGATGTCTCATTGAATGCTAGGGAGGCTAAACCTACCCTGTAAATTTCCTAAAATTCTAGGTAAAATATGCATTGTCAAACTTAATAGATGTAGTCATTAAACTGCACTAAATATGTGCCTAAATTGATGAGTATGTTGCGCTCTCGGATGTGATCTCCTTCACTGTGGAGCAGCTGAACGCTGGTGGTCAGCCTCTATGAGAAATCCCTGTGAGCTTTGTCTTGGTCTATTGAGGTAAGCAGCAAGAAAGTAGAGCCTTGATTGGATAACACGCAAAAATAAAGTCACCTCCAGGGAGGTTAACCTCTTAGAGGGTCT